TCCACTAAAATAACTAAATCTTTGACTTTCAGATAAACTGAATATCGATGCTGACTTGTACACTTGACTTGGGTCTATGCGCAGCGCATGCACCTGGACCGGCTATCCTTTTGCTGGGCCGAAAATTAGTGAAGATACATGGACAGATGTCGCTATACTCCAAACCATTTAAATGCACTCTGCTATTCATGTATTCACACATGTTGTGCCAAAACAGTTTCTTTACAAAATGTTTGTATTGTTCGATGGAGTTCAAATTTCCCCAAGTATCAAAAACACATAAGACACAGATTATATACAACAGAAAACAGAAAACACACACAAAATGGAAACATGTCTACAAATATAACAGAATTATTCAAAGTTACTCAATAGAAATTAATTGGGGAAACTTTGTATGTCTCTTTTTTTTCTGTTTGTTAAATAAAGTTTGCTTGTTCATTTTAGACCTATTTTAATGAACCCCATATGTGATGATTGCCTATAGGGGAAAGTATCACATTTAATTTTGTGGGTAGGATGTTTCTTGAGGGTGTGAACATGTGTGTGGGGATGTGTGTTTTGCTTGTGTGGATGAGTGTGTGTACGTGTGTGTGTGTATATGTGCACTGGTGTGGACTTTTTTTCCTTGTACCAGTAAAATAACCTCCGGATTTTTTTTATGGAGTGAATAACATGTACAATTGATTTATAAATTATGTTTATGTACTTTTAGTGTGTTGCTCAGCTATATATATACTGCAAATCAGTTTTTGTTAAATCATGTTTATGTATGAGCAATTAAAATTGAAAACATTTATTTATTTTATTCAATTGTATGTTCTTGTTTGTGATACATTTGGAGGAATAAACAAAATTACTACAAATTTTTAAAAAAGTGCTTTGTATAGAAAGGATGCGAGATGTCTTTGTTGTGCGATTGATATGTATCTTTTCTATCGTAAAACCAGAATTCTTAGAGCAGTGAAACTATGGCAAAAACTAAGCGTCTGACATTTTCATAGCAAGATGTTTTTGCAAATTGCAAATATTCAGTGTTGTGTCAGTTTTCATTTATGTCTTTTTGAATAATAGTTTGATAATCACTTATGTATGTTTCATGAGGGTTCTTTTAAATTCCTGACCCATATGTCCGTTATTCTTATGATGATAAAACTGTTACATTTTTGTTCGCTATGTTATATTTTTTTTAAGGTGTGGTTCTGCTATTAAGATATATAACTCCTTAAATTGTATTAATTTCTACTTTAAATGTATGAGTAAGTATGTTGCCTCCTTTTTTAAAGGAAAATAAGAATGATCTTTCCATTTTTTATTCTGCTTGTAATTTTACACTTAAGAATAACTCATACAGTAATCAAGAAATGCACTCATAAATATAATGGAATGACTGTAATAACTTTATATCATAAACCTTTTTGTTTGTAGTTTGATCATTTTTTTTTTTTATGTCAAAGATCTTTCTTACTGTCAACAATGATATTACATGCGGTTTGGATAAAAAAAAAATCTTTTCTATATTGTACACCTGTTTACTCAGTGATTTTGCTCTGTCCTGTGAACTCAATTTTTGTTTTAAATCACTATTTAAAATCACTATAGTCACCATGGAGTACAAAGTAAATTAAATTGGATAACATTTTCAAAATCTGTGCCTGCGCATAAATCCTTTACAAATAATGGGGTGAAATATATGTTATGAATATGAAAGACCTTTTTTTTTGGGGGGGGGGGGTGTTTGTATTTTCTTATGTCTTCCTTAAATTTGTAATGTGTATGACTGTATACATGTATACCTTCTTTTCCATGTTTATTTGCAAACATGCATACAAAATGACCATTATTATTTCATAATCTAGTTCTTAAAAGATGCAATCCTATTTATGTATGTGTGTGTAAAATTGCTTTTCATTACATGTACAGTTGGTACTATGATCTAACAATGAATATATTTGATTGTATATGTATATCCCAAAGAAATCATATTTCATTGTAATAGACAATGGTCCCACATTTTAAGTGGTAATGGGCAAAGCTGTTGAAATTGCTTTAGGTTGATTTTCGAAAGTCTTTGCGATCATGTAACATTTCAATGTATAAACATTGATGTATTCTAAACAAATGATTGGTAATACTGGAACTAGAAGAGTATTTGTTTTCAAAGCCTTTCTGAGTTGTAGGTTGGCAATTTTAATAAATTATATTTTTGTAAATTACAGAATTCGTTATATGTTTATGTGTTTTGTTTGTTTTTTAATTTTCTTCTTGCTTATATTAGTTGGTGAGGTATATGAATGATGGACATGTCCATTATTGTCTTCTTCTTTTTTTTTTTGGGGGGGGGGGTGATATCATAAATAATATCTTGAAATTGAAAAGCAATATATTCAAAAAGGCTTGTTGAAATCCCTAAATTAGTCATTTTTTATGTTTTCAGAGAAGCAGGATTTTTAAATTAAATCTCACCCAGTCTTTTGGAAGATCTTAAGAAATGACAAGTTTACATTTACCAGTCTGTTTGAGCTTTGGAGAGAAGGGGAGAAAGAGTTGGATGAAGAGAAAAGGGGGAAGGAGAGATGATGGGAGAGGAAAGGAGGGAAGAAGAGAAAGAGATGGGAAAAGAGGAAGGAAAAAAATGAAAGAGAAAGCGTGGGATTAGGAAGAAGAGAAAGAGAATTCAAAAAGAAATGGGGGGAAGAAGAGAAAGATAATGGAGAAGAGGAAGGGAGGGGAAAAGGAGAAAGAGTGGGATTAGGAAGAAGAGAAAGAGAATTAAAAGAGAAAGGGGATCATTAAATATGTGAAACCAAAAATAGGAGAGAATGATTGGGAGGTGGATAGAACACCTTGTAGAATAGTGAGTGAACCCTATACAATTTGGCCCGGGGGGGGGGGGGGGGGGGGGGGGGGGAGGGGGGGGGAGAGGGTGAAAATGCTCCATATCCCCCCCCCCCCTTTAGCAAAATAATTGAACAAAATAAGTGCTCACAGCTAAATTGTTTTTTACAAATTGGCCCCGCCCTCGCCTCTGGCTTGGTCCCCCCCCCCCCCCCCCCCCCCCCCCCCCGGTCAGAACTAGTGGCCCATTCAAGGTTCTGTAGACAGACATCAAAATCAGTTGTCCATCGTTGCCAGTAAATAATGCACATAGACAACGAAGTAAGCTGTTACTGCAAAAGTAGGCTTAAACTTGTAGATAACATCCAGCAAAACTCAACAATAATTAAAGAAGGGTGGAGTTAGCTGAACAAGAACAAGAAAGTTACACCATCAGATTGTTAGAAAATGGTCACATGCTTAAAAAGGCATGCCATTAACAAATCCTTTACCTGACACTCGGTCGTTATAACAAGTATTTAAAGTGATTTAAATAACAATCTTCAAGCACTAATTGGTGTGGGGGCTAGAAGCTCAGGGATTTTAGGCATTAAATAACCATCAGATGAGCATCCAGGGGCTTGCCTTTGTGACACTTGCAGGTCACTATTCCTTCTTTCTTTCTATCTTTCTTTCTATTTCTCATTAATATACCTTTTCAAATAAGCAGCCTGGGAGGAAGGCCTCCCCCCCCCCCCCCCCGATCCACAGTGAGTGCATCTGGAAAATTGCAGCTGATATCCACCCCCCCCCCCCCCCCACGATCCATGCATTGTTGATGATCTCCCCTACTTTTCACCCTTTTCTTTTCTTTTCTTCTTCCTCTTTTTGTTTTCCTTTAGCTCTCTTCTTTCCCTTTCCCTTCCCTCTCTCTTTTTTTTTTGGTGGAGGGGGGGGGGGGGGGGGGGCAGCAGCCTGGGAAGAAGGCCCTTTCCCACCCCAGCCCCCTCACCGATCTCCTTCTTTCCCCCCTTTTCTTTTCTCCTTCCTCCTTTTCTTTCCCTTTCTCTCTCTCTCTCTTTTTGCGAGGGGGGGGGGGGGGTCCCTGCTCGGGCCCACTGTATCCACGCCTGATTGTACAAGTCAATAATAAACGTTTTTCTCCTGCATTCTGACAGTTCAAGCTAAAACAAGTGTGCAAACCAATAAGTTGTTTCACATATTTGAGAACATTTATTGTAGGTTTAAGAAGAGACAAATAAGTTCAAGAAACTCTTTTCTCTTCAAGCAATGTTCCCTTTCCCTTCCCTTCCTTCTCTCTCTCTCTCTCTCTCTCTCTCTCTCTCTCTCTCTCTCTTGGGCTTGCTGGGAGGGGGGGGGGGGGGAGTAAGGGCCTGGGCGGAAGGCCCTTTCCCACCCCTCCCCCCATGCACCGATCTCCTTCTTTTCATCCTTTTCTTTTCTTCTTCCTCTTTAGCTCTCCTCTTTCCCTTTCCCTTCCCTCTGAATAGATAATAAGTTCAAGAAACTCTTTTCTCTACAAGCAATGTAAACTGTACAAAAATCCAATCATTTAAACAAATTTAGTGGAATTTATTATTTGTATATATTGGATATCGTGAAATCTTTATTTATAAATACTTGGGCTATCCAATACTAGTACACGTTTAGTTGCATTAGACCACATATAAATAATTGTTAAATTAAATATAATATTGGTGTAAATAATAGGTCTACAAACGGCGCCTCATAATCGCCAAGGCCTATCCAAATTATTACAAGGGGCGCGGCGCGCACGCGCAGGATCAAGATGAAATGAGCTAGCTATTTCAAGAGGTGCTTGATCGACCACGGCCACGTACATACGTCACTCAATCTCAACAAGCCATGTAATTGAAACAGCAATGTTGATGATATTTTTGGCAGTGAAACAGCATCGTTATTTCAAATGGTTCGTGCAAAGAAAGCACTGCTTTCGTATCGGCTCTCTGAGTCTGTGAAGGACAGCGTCTCTATTTCTCCCAGGCCAGCTGCCCTCGCCTCCCGACGGTCATTTCTCCTTCGCGGTGGTGAGGAAAAACAAGCGAGCACATGTTCGGAGCTGAGAGTGCAGTGCAGTGAGAGCTCGAGAGAGCTGAGAAGCCCCGATATTGCTGTGCTGGTGTGCTTTGATGTTGATACAGCCCTTTCATCTCGTTGATAACAAGAAGGTAGAATACTAGAAATTTCAAAATTAGTTTTTTTATAATAGTCTAGGGTCTAGATCTAATTATAATTTAGGCGCTAGGCCTAGGGTCTAGATCTAATTCAGAATCATCATGATCATAATCCATATCCATACAAAAATCAACTAGACTTCTTGTAGTCTCAAGCGCGTAGCCAGGATTTCATTTTAGGGGGGGCGGTAGTGAGCACGCAAAGCGTGCGAACCACTTAAAGAGCGCGCGAAGCGCGCTCCCTAGGGGGGTGGGTGCAGGGAGGGGGGAGTTTCCCCCCTCCCGCGCTTTGAAAGAAGACGATTCGTTGTACCTTTCTCGACTCATAATCCTTGTCTGAATTCAGTCCCTCCCCTCTCTTGCGCGAAGCTTTGACGTTTCATTAAATTATTAGAGAAAGAAGACGATTCGTTGTACCTCTCTCGACTCTTAATCCTTATCTGTATTCAGTCCCTCCCCTCTCTCACGCGAAGCTTTGACGTTTCATAAATTATTAGAGAAAGAAGACGATTCGTTGTACCTTTCTCGACTCTTAATCCTTGTCTGAATTCTGTTCCCCCCCCCCTCTCGCGCGAAGCTTTGACGTTTCATTAAATTATTAGAGAAAGAAGACGATTCGTTGTACCTTTCCCGACTCATATTTCTTAATTTTAACTCAGTTTCCCCCTTCCCGCGCGAAGCGCGGAAGCTTTGACGATTCATTGTACCGTTCTCCACTCCTTTTCCCTTTTTCTTCCTACGTCCTCTTTCTTTTTTTCTTCTCTTTCTCTCTCTTTTTTTTTTTGGCCGGAGTTTTGGGGGGGGGCGACCGCCCCCACCGCCCCCCCCTGGCTACGCGCCTGTGTAGTCTAAAGTTAGGGTCTAGAGTCTTTTTATTTGCACTGTACACTCGGCACTTGACAAGCACAAGGTACGATAATACGCCAACCGCGGACTGTACTCTAATGGAAGAAGACGAAGAAGACTAAATCTTCATCAATTGTTCCAATATAGAGTAAAGGAGCCCGTTTTCGGCCACTTAAGACAAAATCCTTTTTTTAGGACTCTTTACTTCCTATTTATTATCATTTCTTGTTCAAATCATGAAGCAAATTTTATTATTATTTAAACAAAAAAAGAATCCCAGAAAAAAAATCACGAATTGCCATGACAATATTCATTTCAATTTTCACTGTTTTGGAGCCCGTTATCGGCCGAGCGTTTCAGTTTACGGCCGCATGTACAAAGTCAATAGGAAGCGCTCGCGCGCGCCGTGCGTTTCCGCGCTGATGTACAGCACAAGCGGGCGGAACAGGTATCCCACGCCGGAGCTCCCTGGTGCTCGCCTGGCCGAAGACAGGCACAGCGGTGATCGGAAGTTGGAATCTGAATTAGACAGACATATCGTGTGTGCGTCGCGGTGTGCGGCTGCATTGATTTAATACATGCGATGAGATACTTTTGAGCTTGCGACTAGCACAAAATCGGGCTTTAAATCTGAAAAATACTTGAAATAAAGCTCATTTTATGGTACCCATAATTTTTACAGACACGCGTAAGATACTCGATTTTTCAGATTTGGGTAGCGGGACCGGCGATTACATCGCTAAAATGTGATATTTTAGGATATATTTTCCATTGCAAATGTGGTTCTTCAGTGACACTGGCATGGTATGGTATGTGTGGGATATGTGTTATGCTATTATGCGATGTATTTTAGAGTGATTTTACCTTGCATCCAACCAATCGGCCGAAAACTGGAGCTGGCCGATTACGGGCTCCTTTACTTTAATGGTCATTATTTAAAGTCCTTGGGTGGTATTCTCGAAAGCGGCCTAAGTTAAATCAGTGGCCTAAACCTGGTTTAAACCATGGACTATCTTTTTTGCTATTCTCGAAGGTGGCCTAAAGATAAGCCAGGCTTAAATACGTCATAGTTCGGCCTAACTTTAGGCCGCTCAGAGGGCAGGTTTAAATACGTCATAGTTCGGCCTAACTTCGCGTGACGTCACTTTTTAGTTAAATCGACTGTCCGCGGAGAGTGAACGGTAAGTTTTGCATTTGAATTTCTATATTTGATAACAATTTACACTCTTTTGTATGGATAAGCGCTCATGAAAGTTACACCAGCTAATAAAGTATTTTTGTTACTTTCATGTTGCTGTACTGGTGATAATCTAAAATGCTTTTAACTGAATAAATTTGGGGGAAACTTGGTAAATGTTCACAGTGTTCGCAGAGCAGTCCCATACGTGCAAATAATTGTCGGTTAAAATTTTCATTTCCTGAGATTGAGCAATTTCTTACCGGGTAATTTTTTCTTGGCACTATTGTACTTTCGTACGCTTATACCACCTTATAACATCACCTTAAAAATATCATTGCTAGACGTAGAAACTACTTTTATAGTGGATTTTCGAGACGCTGTTGCCTAAAAGTGGACTAGCACTAGGCCTAAATCTAGATCTAGCTGTCTCTTTCGTTCGTTAGCCTCTGATTTGGTCGGCTCCTCTCTTTCAGGAGCCGATCCTACCCAAATCAGAGGCTAACGAACGAAAGAGACAGAAATTTCGGTCTGTTATCACCTCTGCCTGAGCTGCAGTGCTAGTTGTGGCTGTTGGTGCGATCATTTCCTACAGGATGATGATGATTTTCATAACCACCCCCAAGAAAACATTTTAAAAAAAATGTTAGGCCTACTAGACCTAGACCTCTAGCCGGCTCTAGACTAGATCTTAATTTCATCAATGAGAGTCTAGTCTAGACAGGTCTAATACAAATTGAAAGGAAATGGACAGAAGCTTCCTTTTTTGACATAGGTCTACATTTGCTGATAATGTTACAGTAGTTTAGGCTTATAATACTTGTTAGTAAACTAGACGTCTACAGAGAAATTGTAATTTCTTATCAAATATCAACATATTTTTTCATCTTGATTTTCTGCTATTTCAGGTTCTTTTCAATTGATGCATGGGGATGGAGAAAAAAAAAGGCCTCTCCCAAGCTATGGTGTCCCGCCTTGTGAAGTCCATCTCAATAGCCATTGCCAGGAGATGGGAGCAATACATCACAATTCCTTCAGCAAGAGAGGCAGTCCTGCAGAGTGCAGACCCAACATGAATTGTATAATTACTGCCATTTCCCTGTCGTTAATATGGTCGGTGCAATTGATTGCACCCACATAGGCATCTCCAAGCCAGTTGGCCCAACACCAGTTATTTCCTGAACAGGAAAAAATAGATACTCCATTTTTCTTGGAAAGTCTGCTGGTGAGTAAAGCTGTAATTACGCCTAAATTTTGTAAACTAAATCATGTTTATACAATTTGTATTAAAAAGATCTGCTGAATTTATGAATCTGCAGATGTGTCTACAGGTGCATTATGAAGTGATTTAAAATTGTTTTGTCTGATAAATGTAGGTGCAATCTACACTCAAACTTTTATTCATTTTACATGGGCACGAGCTAATATTTCAGCTCGATTGCCATGGCTACCAGTCATTCCTGACAGTGACAGCTTGGCCTAGACTTTTGGGCAGAACTATCTGAAAATAAGACACAAATAATCAACAGTTGATTAACTACTTTCAAATTTGGGTCAGAAGAAAATTCAAACCTACCACTAACAATTCTGGAACAAATAAGACTTAGAGACCTACAGACTACAGTACAGTGCAGTAAATTTTACTTTTACTTTTTCCCCTTTCACGAAGCTCATTTTGGGAGATAACATAAACAAAGACAATCTTTGGTCTAATGTTAGATTAAACTGAAATGGAAAAGTTGGGCTCTAACGATTAGGGCCTTGTAAAATCTCCATTCCAGGCTGCGTTTACATCTAGGTTAGGCCAACTGTCGGCTCGTTATCTAAGTAAGATGTAGACTTGATTTCAGGAAAGAGACTAACTTCGCTATAGACTTGAACTACTTAGGGCTTTCTTAGGCCATGACATGGCAAGTACAACTTGGTGCAAGCACATTTATGAGATAGTACTGCAAGAATGTGTATGTTTGTTCTTGATTTAAAAGAGATACCGGTAGTCATTCTGTAAATCAATGATTACTAGTAACTGAGTGGGGAGGGGGTGCCTAGCCACTGCCTACATGAAAGGCGCCTTAAGTTTTTTTTTAAAGTTAGAATATTATTGACACTATAACTAAGACCAATTATCAATGGAGTAGATCTTTGATATTTTAATGAGGTCTAAACCTTTTTATTTTTGTTTCAGGATGATGTTTTTCTTCAGTAAAATAAATGAAGGCAAATTCCCTGATAACTGAGACAAATTCAGAGAGAGGAAGGAAACTACTGAGCTGCTGAATTTCTGACAGGTAGGCTGTACGAATAAGTTGTTGTTTGTATGCCCAGGTACTTCAAGGATGGCATTTGTTCATTCACATTTTTCCATCAATACTTTCATTTACTTGATTAATATGCACTCCACTTTTACCACAATGTACATGCAAGACCTTTTTAATGTTTAACAGAAATAGGTTTCAATGTGCTTCCTTTCATTCTTTTCTCTTTTCATTCAACAGACATACTTGCAAGGACTATGAAGTTCTACTTAGCCTCTTCAATGAACCAGACTCCATCTGCTGTAACTGTGACTGCATAGGGATCAAAACCTGTGTATTATAATCCTCATAACATGAAGCTATGGTAACAAACAAGCAACCATTGATAAAAAGCCTGATATGTCCTTGTTGTGTGTGTGAACCACAAAGCAACCATCACTCATAAGGATGTTTTATGTACATCAGATGTTCATTGTTTCACTGGAAAAATTGTGATTTTGAATCATTTAAAGGGAAAGTCCACCCCCAAAATAAGTTTGTTTCGATAGAGGCAGAATAATAAGAAAATCAGGTGAGTGAAAGTTTGAGCAAATTCTGAATGAAAATAAGAAAGTTATGAATTATTGAAGTTGTGATCAATCAAATACAAATTGGCAACTCTGTGACTTATCATACGAGCTCTCCTTCATTTGCTTTGTGCATACTATTCCATAAAATCATGTTTTCTTCGTTATTGATGACGGAATATATATTTGTTCCTTGCAGGGGGAGTATAGAAACATATTTGCAATTATTATATTTAGGGTGCATGTATGGTTGAAATTTTTCTTGAGGGAAAATGAAAATTTTAGATTTTTTTAGTACTGAGCAAATGGAAGTTGAGCTCGCATGATACGTCATAGAGTTGCCAATTTGTGTTTGATTGATCACAACTTCAATAATTCATAACTTTCTTATTTTCATTCAGAATTTGCTCAAACTTTCACTCACCTGATTTTCTTATTATTCTGCCTCTATCGAAACAAACTTATTTTTGGGGTGGACTTTCCCTTTAAGAAATCATGTTTTATAATGCGTTTTATAATATAGTGCAAGTCATGATATAACAGATTCCCTGCAAAAGAAACACGGCTCAAAAGTAGACTAAGCTTTGTTTTTAAAAAATGGGAGAAATTAGTGTAACAAATACATAACATTTAATTCTAATAGTTTCAAGTAGCAGATTATGAGGCTATTGGAGCTTAATATTTGACCTTCAATTTTATAATCGTATTCATCGTGAATTACTATCTTTTCTGTTTTAAGAAAAATAAATAAATTGAACATAATTGTTGATATGTTATATACAATATTCCTTTCATATCTTTTGATTTTAAGTGTGCATACTGTTGGGTTCATTGAATTATACGTGGAAAAGTCTTGAAATAGAACAGTGAGAGAACAGAGAGCGAGCGAGAGAGAGAGAGATAGAGTAAAAGAGAAAGGGAACCAAATGAGAAAGAACAATTTAATGGTGAGAGAAATAAACAATGATGTGAGATAGTGTGTGCGTGTGTGAGAGAGAGAGAGATGGAGATAGGAAGAAAGAGTTGGGGGGGGGGGGTACAGTGCCCCCTTTTTCAAATGCCCATTTTTATATAGGAAAGTTCCCTTTTAACTTTGTAAGAAGTGCCCCTTTTTCCATAGGTAAAGTGCCCCTTCCCCTTTTCACCTCTGATAAGTGCTCCTTTAATTTTGACACGGGCCCCTTTTCCTTTGACAAGTTTCCATTTCCTTTGCAATAAGTGCCCCTTTTCACTTTTGAGAAGTGCCCCTTCACCTCTGATAATTGCCCTATTTAAATCTGAGAGGTGCCCCTATTAACAAAATTATCGGTGCCCCTTTTCTTTCAACAAATGCACATTTCCTTTATTATAAGTGCCTCTTTTTCATTCTCATAAGTGCCCCTTTTAAAATATGTTCAATGCCCCTTTTCAGGTGCGATATGTGACCCTTTTCACCTCTGATAATTTCCCTTTTAACAATGATACAATTCCAGCAAGTGCCCTTTTTGTTGGTGCTGCCCCCCGCTTTGGAAGTCGCTCCGCCGTCCCTGGACGTCATATTGCTCAAGTTGTCGAGGTGATGCATCCTCTCCACACTGCGCACATTCATTGTCTTAGCCCATTGTCTTAGTCCATTGTGACGTCATATTGCTCAAGTTGTCGAGGTGATGCATCCTCTCCACACTGCGCGCATCCATTGTCTTAGTGCATTGTGACGTCGCAGCTTCGGTACTGAGCATGTGCAGAAACCGTAACCATGGTGAATAATCCATGGACTAAGTTAGGCCAGGTTTAAACCATGGATCAGTTAGGCCACCTTTCGAGAAATGAAAATGACTTAGGTCAGCGGCCCAAGTTAAGCCTGGCCTAACTAAACCACGGTTTAAATTAGGCCAGGTTTAACTTAGGCCGCTTTCGAGAATACCACCCCTTATGTTTCTTAGATCTACCCTGATTATTACCCTGTTTCTTATCTTTTAAAAAATATTTAAAAGAAGACATATTTATAATAGACTTTCTCACAGGTTTCACTGTAAATTGTTGCACATTACAATTGCATACCGTAAAGCGTATTGACGGTGAGGTGTAGAGGCGCACGCGTGCGTGAAGTTAGGGACCGTAATGATAAATTACTCACATGAATCTAATCAGTAGGGGCGCTGGTCCGAGAATAAGGATCGACTTCATAAACGAGGATCGTCTCAGTAAACACCGACCAATGCGTCCTCAAAAATAAGGATCATTTTCATATTTTGATCGGCACATTGGTGATACAAAAAACGGATTCCCTGATGATTTTCTTGATGCATTTTACATTGCCTTTGTATAGAGACCTTCACATTATGAGCAATAAATCCTTGGGAAGGCGGACAACCCATAAAAGTAGACAGTGAACTAGGGTTATGTTCCCCAGGGAATCTATTTTGGCATCGCTAGCGGGCGGTTCGGTAACCCGAAACCCGCAGAGTGCCGATGAAAAAAAATGTCCGCGAAAATGCAGGCCATCCTCATTTTTGAGGATGCATCGTGTCAGCGTTTATGAGGACGATCCTCGTTCTCGGACCAGCGCCCCTACTGCTAATGAGGATCTGAGATTACAGTCTCTATCTTCAGTCATGCTCACACCCCATCGTTGGCCATTAAAAAAAAATTACTTTGTGAACACTGATTTTCCTGCTTTTGACTCGCATCGACAGTGTAATTTAAATGGGAACATTTATATAATCTTTGCATCACCCACAGAGCAAAGTGATGAACCTACAAGGCAAGATGAGAAACTTCTTGGACCTCACGACTTTCTGCTATTGCCACACTTATGAGGACACAGGAGGAAATTCTCTGGTTCAAGGAAGGCATGGTGCTGGCTAGGCTGGGACTCGATCATGATATAGATGTCTTGCGTCTCTCATTACAGATCCACAGGTATGTTTAAAGATCTTTGGATGTAGCGATTGCTTCTCAATTTATTCTCATATGTGTTCAGATATTCTTAGATGCACTACATGTAGAACAGTATCATTAATCGCTACACTGGATGAAGTTGCAAATTCATTCCATTTTACTTGGAGTGAAAGTTTTGGAGTTAAAACCCTTCTGGCTCTCAATAATCGGCAGACCACAAGTTGATAGGTAACCATAGACGTGCTGGAAAACAATTCATGAATATATGAATTGAATTTTTTCATGGATCTAACTCCATACATTTTTCCTTGTCCTTCCACAGATTCTGTATTGCAGAAGTAACAAGAGAGCACTCACTCCTAGGCATGCCTACATCATTCCGAGTCCAGAATCTACTGCTGGCTCTCTGATCCCTAGTGCACTGTCTTCATGGATACCCCAGCAGATCCTTGTCATGCACGTCTCTTTGTTGTGAGTTTTTGATAAACTTTTCGTAAACTATGCGATATTGAAACAAAAATATACATGGTCATCAGAGTACTTTTTGAAGCACAAGATGTGTTGATAAATCTGGTTGGCTAAAATCCTCAATACAAAATCATATTTTCTCCTGAGCTAGAATGATTAATTCCCTCTGTGCATTGAGGAGAGAAAATAATGGTGTGAAGCAGATCAAAAGATTTGCTCCCATTGATTGTTGTAATGAAACCATTAAATTGGCATTTTTTAATGATATTTTGAATTCATTACCATATTTCTTTTATAATGAATTTAAAAAATCTTTTCGTACATTACTGAGCAAATTGTGTTGGGTCTATTGCTTTTTTTTAATGTTTCAACATCTTGAAAGATATGTTTTGTCACAATAGCCACAATACAAAAGATAATGCATAATAAAACAGTTTCTCGTATGTTGGCTTTGAGTTTGACATTTACCCCTTTCTTCATACGTTCATTTTGCTTTCACAATACTTACAGTTATCTCGACATCATGATTCTGAAGAGTTGCATTGCTGCAAAAACAATGTTGCCCCAAGGAGAGAGTTTCCTACATCCACTTGAGAAACTGAAACTAAAGATTTAAGCTGCCCATGGGTATTCTACTCCCAATATTTGCAACATGCTTTTTAAAGAATCTGCACATCTGAACGTGAAGTTGCCCAACCGAGGGATACTAGTGTCCATGATCAGAGCTTGAGAAACAGATCCTTTCATACTTGAGGAACAGTACAATATCAAAGTATAGCTGGTAATCTGAACATTTGAAATTTGGTCGGCAGAGGGGTGCAAGTATTCAAGTGATGCAGAGAATATTTGCAATGGCAGCAGGGCAGTGCATCCATCGTCACTCCTCACATCGTTTCCAGAATGAGGATCACAAGTATTCAAGGGATGCAGAGAACATTGGAAACGGCAGCAGGACAGAGCATCAATCATCACTCCTCACATCGTTTCCAGAATGAAGATCACAACTATTCACTAGATGCAATGAACATTGGTAATGGCAGCAGGGCAGAGCATCCATCGTCGCCCCTCACATAGTCTCCAGAATGAGGATCGCAAGTATTCAAGGGATGCATAGAACATTGGCAATGGTAGCAGGGCAGAGCATCCATTGTCATTACCTTACATCGTTTCCAGAATGAGGATCACAAGAGAGGTTTGGCTGTCTTGTTTGTGTCGTAGCCATGATTGATGGTTGTGAAGTTGTGGCGATGAGTCTGTGTTTACATTTCCAAATCATATGTAGAAACTTTTGCATTGTATAGGTAAATAGGTATTTTATTTCATTTTTCATTGTGTTGTAGGGTGCGACTAAGGCCTAGTGTAACTGCTAGATTTAATTTAATTTGGGGTATTTTTCTGATGGTTTTAAAATTATTACTGGTATGTTTTGATCCATCATTGATAATCTAAAACATTGCTCAGAAAAATGAAATATCAGAACATGTAGATATTCCCCCCCCCCCCCAAAAAAAAGAAGCAAAGAATTACAAGACAACATCTTGCTCAAGAGAGTGACTCAATGCTCAATAATGAAAAATGATAAGTTTTGATTGAATTATTAGCTGAAATTGTAAATGATTGTCTATGCATCTAAACATACATTCCAAAAATATTCAGCCCCAAAATAATGGCGTATAGTTGTATGCTTCAAAAAGCGCATTCATATTGTTGGTGCACCTCAAGAGTGTGGTTATCTGATATTTGCTTCTGCAACATTTGCTCTGGGCTTTATTATTTTACATGGTGGTTTTAACATAGTGTTGGAACCAGGTTAGAGGTCAAGAATTTGGAATGTGTTTAAACAAAAATTGTTCTTGAGCAGCTGTCGTAAAATCCAGAAAGGCAAAAATATTCTCGTGAGATATGGGATACACCAAGGAGGGCAAACATTATTGCCCCATTACCCCCACTCCTTCCGTAAAGATCCCTCGCCCCCCCCCCCCCAAAAAAAAAGGGCAAAATTGATAATGTTATTAACATAATTGAATAATTTGGTATATAAAAATATCAAATAGATGAAGAGTTTCACCAACTGTGGATTATACCTAGCTGTAAAAGTCCTGATAAGTTTTTCTTTCTGTGTTTCTGGTTTGTGTGTTGAACGTCTTTGTATGATTCCAGTGTGTTTGTGTATGACCATGTGATATGATCTGAATACTGTTGTTGTTTTGGTCTATAGGCATTTATCATTTAGGAGTGAATATCTAAGCCTCTTCTGTTCGGATCTTTTTCCTTTCAAATTAGATTTTAATACTTTAGTTTTAATATAAAGATTAGGATAAATTAGATTCTTAAAAGTTACACTCTATTTTTTTAAAAGTTGAAGTGTTCAGTGGCTGACGAGCAAAAGGCCTATCGGCTATATTGGACGTCCAAGGACCAACTCAGACACAGTACGTTGTGACAAGTTTCTCAACTCGGCCTAATGCTGAGCCTAGGCCCTCTGACGTCCACCATTAAGTCTAGACGTCTCCACCGCATTTCTTCAAGATTTGTCCCAAAACCAATAAAAAACATATAATATACATGAAGATTCTAAACGTTAATATAGGCAGTTCTCTCTTCTCTTCTTTAGTACTTTTCTACTTTTTTTCTTCTTTCCCTCTTCTTCTTCTTCATGTATCACTCACTATAAAAAAGCGAAACATCTTGAGCTTGAATAATTAAGTGCGGTGCAAAGTGGTTAGTATGGGTACAGGTGTACCCTTTTAGCTCTAGATACAAAGTTGACCAGAGCCTGTTGGTGGTTAATGTCTGTGGAATTTAGTATTGGGATTGCTATTTTGTTTTCTATGCCAGATTCTGTAATAAGCATGGCTCTCTATAAGGAAGAGATAGCACTTGCATACGAAATGGCTAACTGTTTCTTTTTCCGTGCTCACAGTCCAGTCTCATGTTCATTTAACCTAAAGTTCCCCATTCTTACCAGCTAATCTTACTCAAAGCCTAGACCTATTGAATAAGATCTAAATGGACAAACAAATTTCTGCTCTTTTTTTAAACCTACATGTAGATACCAAAAAATGAGATCTTCTGCAGACTTATTAAAGTATTTAGCTCTATATTTCAATGATAGCTCTTTGGTTATGTGTGAGTGAACTACATGTAGACCATGTTGCTTGCATTGTTTTTTTAAAGTCTATTGTCTCTGGGTTCGGCTGTGTCTATTTTGGAATATTTATATGCCCAGTCATGCTAAGTAGTCATTTTGATGGAGACAAACTTGCTTGCACGCAGATATATTTTTAGGCAAGTTGGGCAAGTAATGAAAAATCTTTGACGTAATCGCAGTACCATGCCAAAAGATCTGATTTTATATTATATTTATGCATAGGATGGCATGTTGTAGACTACTGGCCTGGCCACTGTTTTCGACAGCTCTAGAACTGGTGTTGCTTTCAATTGAAAAAAAAACCCTGTTAAATCCATCCTTCAAGAAGTGGCATCTTCTTTCTACGTTCCATCAAGAGCTTCAAATATCTTTCTAATGTTACTAATACTCTGCAGATGAAAAGAGATGGACTTAAATGTGTTTTTTTAATACAAAGTCATTTATGTTCATATTCACTAGCAAACGGAACTCCAAGATTACGTGCTGAGTTTGCTGATATTACATCTGAATGACCTATTTGAATGGAATTTGTGTAGTGATTTTCTAAGTTTTTCATTGTTTTCCATACCTTTTACAAAATTCATATCTCCCTTATTAGTTATTTGATTTTAATCAAATTTTTGTTGCTCTGTTTCTCTGCACCATCCGGTTCTTCTCTAGTGACACTGCTATTGTCTTCACTTTCCTGTTTAAATGTTCATGTCTTCATGCTCTGTTGAAACACTGCTCACACGTTCACTTTCTTCTTCAACATCCATAATTCCCTGCTCTGCGTGATCATCATCGGAAACAACAGTTTTTACCTCATCTTCCTTTTCAAGATTCAATATCATTTTATTTTATTGGTCCGTGCATGCAAACATTACATAGAAATTTTGCTTCCAATGGCTTTTTTGACAGGGAAAGTACAAATAATAGAAAATACAGTATAACATTTAACAATAGAAAACTCTGCGATGTCATTAGGAGAAATATGATTTCATCCAATCCCTTTCCTGCAAACTCTCTGATTCAACCCTTTTCTGCTGCCAGGTGGAAACATGAGCAACTTGCACAACATCAAGTGGGAAGGGGTACATGTAGTACTGTCTGTGGATCGTAATATGTCCCAGAAAAGATGCCAATTGGTCCATTTCATGTTCTTTTAAGCGATGGCACTTGGGACATAATTGCCAAGTGTTTCCTTAATCTCGTGGAGGTGAGTGGATGAGGTCTTTCTGAAGTTGAAGTTGAAATTGAAGTTTGAAGTTTATTAACAACAACAAAATGTATGTACATCATAAAACAAAGTATGCAAGGCAAAACAATAAAAAACAAACTGTACATACTACATAATGTACAAAACAATGAATTACTGCTTAAGCTTAATTAATGCTTACATAAGACACATTTATACAAAAGTTCCAAGTTGTTGCTAGACCCCAACAATCACACAACTACACTCACAAAACAGAAAAAACATTGAAAACTCAAAATAAATACCTTTGATTCCTTCGTCAAGGACAAATTCCTGCCCTTCATGGTGCCCTTGACGAGCATCACTTTTTTGCGCAATGGCAACGCCAACAAATCTTTCCTGACCTGCTCTTCTGGGAAGTGGCAATAGACGGCCACTGGCTCGTTTCCCCCGACTCCAACACGAGCCCAAACACATGCGGCTCCTTGCCTCGTGGTCTTCGTATTTCAAATTGTTCCACAACACAAACCTTGAAAATACCAGGCATGATGGCTGGAAAACACACGGCACTCAACTTAAAAATAAAAAACTCTAACAAAAGTGAAAGAAATACGGAAATAACAACTAAAAACAGCTAAGCCCTGGCATAAAATCTTCAGTCACACAAAACACTATCAGAAAACAGAAATTACATAGAAAACTAAAACTCAAAATAAATACCTTGGATTCCTTCGTTAAGGACAGGTTTCGACCCTTCATGGTGCCCTTGGCGAACATAACCTTCTTTCTTAATGGCAACGCCAAGAGATCTTTGGCCACCTGGTGTTCAGGAAAGTGGCAATAAACAGCCACTGGCTCCGACTCCCCCGACTCCAACACGAGCCCAAACACATGCGGCTCCTTGCCTTGTGGTCTTCATATTTCAAATTGTTCCACAACACAAACCTTGAAAATACCAGGCATGATGGCTGGAAAACGCACGGCACTCAACTTAAAAATAGATAACTCCAACAAAAGTAACTCCAACAAAAGTAACAGAAAAACGGAAATAACAACTAAAAACAACTGAGCCCGGGCATAAAATGTTTAGACACAAGAAAACACAATCGGAAAGCTACCGCAATAAGGGTATGGAAGGCTGAATGAACTTCAAATATATCACACCTCTGATCCCTAAAACACACAAACACACAATGGTGATGAAAATTTAGTTTCATTAACAATATCATCATTTAAAACATCAACACAACCAAAACTATAGTAAACGTGACATCAAGGCAATGAATCATGGCTTGGATGATCTTCTTCTTCACACTTTCAAAGGCATGAAGAGGTCTAGCATTAATTTCTTTGTTAAGGACAAATTTCTGCCCTTCATGGTGCCCTTGGCGAGTATCACCTTTTTCTGCAATGGCAACGCCAACAGATCTTTCGCGACCTGCTCCTCAGGAAAGTGGCAATACATGGCCACTGGCTCTGCTTCCCCCGACTCCAACACAAGCCCAAACAAAAAACTCAAAATAAATACCTTTGATTCCTTCGTTAAGGATAGGTTTCGACCCTTCATGGTGCCCTTGGCGAGCATAACCTTCTTCCTTAATGGCAACGCCAAGAGATCTTTGGCCACCTGCTCTTCAGAAAAGTGGCAATAAACTGCCACTGGCTCCGACTCCCCCGACTCCAACACGAGCCCAAACACATGCGGCTCCTTGCCTCGTGGTCTTCGTATTTCAAATTGTTCCACAACACAAACCTTGAAAATACCAGGCATGATGGATGGAAAACACACGGCACTCAACTTAAAAATAAATAACTCTAACAAAAGTAACAGAAAAACAGAAATAACAACTAAAAACAACTGAAAACAACCAGGCCTGATAAAAACCCGATTTAAATCGGTTTCCCGATTTTTTTATTTTTTCCCGACTTTTTCCCGATTTTTTTTTTCTTCCTGATTTAAAAAAAAAAAAAAAAAAAAAAATCCAGATTTTTTTTTTTTTTTTTTTTTTTACCAATTTTTTTTTTCTTCCCTTTTTTAACCTGATTTTCCCGATTTCCCCTTTATCTTCTCTATTCTTTCCTATTTAGCCCTATTTTTTTCCCAATTTTCTTACACGAAAGGGGGGAATGTTGTTAGATGCCATTTTTTTCCCCGCGAATCCTCTTCTTTTTTTTTACTCACGGGGGGCGTGGTTGAGGGGAAAACAAAAAACCTATTTTTTTTTTAGTGCTCACTATCACCCCTGAACAACTGAGCCCTGGCATAAAATCTTCAGTCACACAAAACGCTATCAGAAAACAGAAATTACATAAAAAACTAAAACTCAAAACAAATACCTTGGATTCCTTCGTTAAGGCGAGCATAACCTTCTTCCTTAATGGTAACGCCAAGAGATCTTTGGCCACCTGCTCTTCAGGAAAGTGGCAATAAACAGCCACTGGCTCTGACTCCCCCGACTCCAACACGAGCCCAAACACATGCGGCTCCTTGCCTTGTGGTCTTCATATTTCAAATTGTTCCACAACACAAACCTTGAAAATACCAGGCATGATGGCTGGAAAACGCACGGCACTCAACTTAAAAATAGATAACTCCAACAAAAGTAACTCCAACAAAAGTAACAGAAAAACGGAAATAACAACTAAAAACAACTGAGCCCGGGCATAAAATGTTTAGACACAAGAAAACACAATCGGAAAGCTACCGCAATAAGGGTATGGAAGGCTGAATGAACTTCAAATATATCACACCTCTGATCCCTAAAACACACAAACACACAATGGTGATGAAAATTTAGTTTCATTAACAATATCATCATTTAAAACATCAACACAACCAAAACTATAGTAAACGTGACATCAAGGCAATGAATCATGGCTTGGATGATCTTCTTCTTCACACTTTCAAAGGCATGAAGAGGTCTAGCATTAATTTCTTTGTTAAGGACAAATTTCTGCCCTTCATGGTGCCCTTGGCGAGTATCACCTTTTTCTGCAATGGCAACGCCAACAGATCTTTCGCGACCTGCTCCTCAGGAAAGTGGCAATACATGGCCACTGGCTCTGCTTCCCCCGACTCCAACACAAGCCCAAACAAAAAACTCAAAATAAATACCTTTGATTCCTTCGTTAAGGATAGGTTTCGACCCTTCATGGTGCCCTTGGCGAGCATAACCTTCTTCCTTAATGGCAACGCCAAGAGATCTTTGGCCACCTGCTCTTCAGAAAAGTGGCAATAAACTGCCACTGGCTCCGACTCCCCCGACTCCAACACGAGCCCAAACACATGCGGCTCCTTGCCTCGTGGTCTTCGTATTTCAAATTGTTCCACAACACAAACCTTGAAAATACCAGGCATGATGGATGGAAAACACACGGCACTCAACTTAAAAATAAATAACTCTAACAAAAGTAACAGAAAAACAGAAATAACAACTAAAAACAACTGAAAACAACCAGGCCTGATAAAAACCCGATTTAAATCGGTTTCCCGATTTTTTTATTTTTTCCCGACTTTTTCCCGATTTTTTTTTTCTTCCTGATTTAAAAAAAAAAAAAAAAAAAAAATCCAGATTTTTTTTTTTTTTTTTTTTTTTACCAATTTTTTTTTTCTTCCCTTTTTTAACCTGATTTTCCCGATTTCCCCTTTATCTTCTCTATTCTTTCCTATTTAGCCCTATTTTTTTCCCAATTTTCTTACACGAAAGGGGGGAATGTTGTTAGATGCCATTTTTTTCCCCGCGAATCCTCTTCTTTTTTTTTACTCACGGGGGGCGTGGTTGAGGGGAAAACAAAAAACCTATTTTTTTTTTAGTGCTCACTATCACCCCTGAACAACTGAGCCCTGGCATAAAATCTTCAGTCACACAAAACGCTATCAGAAAACAGAAATTACATAAAAAACTAAAACTCAAAACAAATACCTTGGATTCCTTCGTTAAGGCGAGCATAACCTTCTTCCTTAATGGTAACGCCAAGAGATCTTTGGCCACCTGCTCTTCAGGAAAGTGGCAATAAACAGCCACTGGCTCTGACTCCCCCGACTCCAACACGAGCCCAAACACATGCGGCTCCTCGCCTCGTGGTCTTCGTACTTCAAATTGTTCCACAACACAAACCTTGAAAATACCAAGCATGATGGCTGGAAAACGCACGGCACTCAAGTTAAAAATAAAAAAACTCTAACAAAAGTAACAGAAAAAAGGAAATAACAACTAAAAACAGCTGAGTCCTGGCATAAAATCTTCAGTCACACAAAACACTATCAGAAAACAGAAATTACATAGAAAACTAAAACTCAAAATAAATACCTTGGATTCTTTTGAAAAGGACAAATTCCTGCCCTTCATGGTGCCCTTGGCGAGCATCACTTTTTTGCGCAATGGCAACGCCAACAAATCTTTCCCGACCTGCTCTTCTGGGAAGTGGCAATAGACGGCCACTGGCTCGTTTCCCCCGACTCCAACACGAGCCTAAAAACATGCGGGTCGTTGCCTCGTGGCCTCCTGATCTCAAACTGTTCAACCACACACACCTTAAAAACACCAGGCATGGATCTACGATGGCAGAAAACACACAATAAAACTTAAAATAAATATCTATAACAGAATAGCGGAAATAGGTACAAAAAAAATTGAGCCCGGGCTTAAAAATCTTCAGTCACAAGAAACACTATCAGAAAGCTACCACAATACGGGTATGGAACGCTGAATGAACTTTTAATATATCACACCTCCAATCCCTAAAACACACAAACACACAATGGTGATGAAAATTTAGTTTCATTAACAATATCACTGTTTAAAAACATCAACACAACCAAAACTATAGTAAACGTGACATCAAGGCAATGAATCATGGCTTGGATGATCTTCTTCTTCACACTTTTAAAGGCATGAAGAGGTCTAGCATCAATGTCCATGCCACAGAAGGGGTGAACTGGGGTTCATTACTTTTTTATGCTCTGCCTGCAGCAGCATGAACATTCCTCAGATGAACACCTGGATGTGCCTCCATTCTGGTCAATGTGGCTTTTGTGGCAGACACACTACTACGAACTGCAGAAATGAGGAGGTTGTCTCTCTGGAATACAAAGGACAGCCCCAGCTGCAACTTCTACAATGTCTCTGTACAAGACCATATGGCAAACAAAATTAGGTGCTGTGAGTAGTTTGACATACCCCTTCATCTTAGCAGCATCACGAGGTAGAATATCTCTTCTCTGCCTAGAGGCATACTCACTACACTGAGTTACAATGGCATGGTAGTCAGTTGCCAGGCATCACAACCATCTACGCCGATGAACCAGCCACCGAGTGCCCTGGGACCGGCTTGGCTTCAGTAGATCCTTTTCCAAAGCTGTGGCTACTGCCTGCAGCTCCCCCCACTTCTTTGGAGATGTTTGATACAGGTAGTACATCTGCATCATCATGCCATCAATCTGGATATGAAAATGCCTTGCATGTTCAATCTTATTACTTTGTTTGAGTTTCTGTTCTTTAAAACATTGCTCTCGCGCAAGTTGAAATTTCTTCTAGTGATTTCAGGACTTTTCCAATTTCATCAATTTCCCCCATTCACTCATCTGGGGAAATCCAGATCCGTGGTCTGTCATAGTGCTTTTGAATGAGCAGTTTAGCTTGTTGTAGATGGCACTTCTGCAAACTCTCTCAATCTACCCTTGAAAGCCTCCATCGTTCCTTCTGTATTTCCTTTGGCCATTTCAGTCAAGCACATGGTGCGGGTTGAACCATCGAGCAAAGTGACTTAAAAACCCAGGTACTTTTTTAATTTTTCTATCAGCATTTCAATTTCATTAGCTGCACATTCAGTTGCTTTTAAAATTGCTCTGCATTTACTCAGTTCTTTGACTGTCAGTTCCATCTTCTTCGCCTGTAATTTTGCATCTTTCAGCTCTTCAATCTTCTCATCTCTCCTCTCCAACTTCGTGCCTCCATTTTTTGCTTTTTATTGTCGACATCCTGTCTTTGTATTTCTGAAGTACAGCTGGAGCTCTCGATCTAGCTTCAGTCATAAGCTCTGTCTTTCTTGCCTCGTCTAAGCTATGTATTAACCCTACAGTCTTGTTATTGATCCACATGATGAGTGCTTCTAAGCTTAGCAGTCTTGCTGATGGCTTCTGCCTGACTAACATGTCCAAAATTGCGAAATCTCGCTTTCCTATAAGTTTGTTGACGGTTTATAGAGTCTAGGTAGCTAAGTTAAATTACTTACCTCCAAAAGTAGTTTCTGAGCTCTGTAGTACCCATCGGTTTCAACCCCCATTGAGTCATCGTCTGAAGAATTCTCATCCCTTTTGCTCCGTTAACTTCTGAAGAATATGGTAGGCCTACCCTTGTTTTTCTTTGAGTTTGCGAGCTTGGAGTTGGAATTGGATTTGGAAGTCCCGGCACTGTGGGCCTTCACATCTGCAGGGCTCCACCGCACCATGTAACATTTGTCCTCGTGGTAGCTCTCCCTGTCAAAGTTCTTTATTTCGCTGATATTGATGACAGCCGTCTCTCCATCCACTCTAAACTTTACGTAAGCGAAGTTGTTGCAAACTTATTGGGCGAGCAAGGTAGAACACGCCAATACCTTGATAATGCCTTGTCTATGTCTGCCAGTCCCCTTGACATCACTTGATTGTGAAGAATTGTCTCTCTACCTGTGCTGTGGCAGTAGAGAGGAAAATAAGATCAGTAGAAGATGGCCAATATTGGGATAAACTTGTGCCTTACAAGTGGCAGAGGTTCCTGGACCACAGATCTTGAAGGTCATCTTTGAGGAAGTGGTGTTTGATGAACTCTTTAATAAGCCACAAGGAGATTATCTGATTTGGAGTCATAGGTTCAAAGG